AACTACATATATTTACCAACCCAGTAAGATTCACCTACCTTGTCATTTGTTTGAAAACTAATGTCAAAGTCAAGGGACGCCAGAAAACAAGAACTATTAGAGACCATTCAAAAACGTAACCAGAGGAATTAAACAAATATGCTCCTTTCTAAACAAAACCGAGACAGCAAATGAAATGTGCCAATACTTGAATTGCTGGAAGGTACAAAAAAAAAGTTACCACAAGAATGAAACATTGTTTTTGTCCATGTTTGACACAATCCTCATTCGTATAAACAGTTGTGTCCCCAGACTGTTTTGTGTCAATTATACTGATCCTTGATACTTCGATATACACCATTAATAAGTCCTGTATTTAGCCAAGTGTCAGTGACCCTCACCTCTAGATCCACATATACAGTAGACTTGTAGTCCATGTTGGTAATGCCAGTAAACACACAGGGCAAGTATGCTATTTTCTCCCGGGGACCTGCAGAAATAGCAAAAGCAAAGCAAATTAACAAAAATACAACAGTTTATAGGTGAGTCAGGAAACGTTGGTAGAACTATAATGAACTAATAAACATTATGGTGGCACAATGAAATCTTACCTTTCATGACATCCAGGGATATCTTGTACCCAGGCCCACAGAATTGGCACCTGACTGAAAAAAAGAGAAAAGGACAGTGTAAAATGATCCTCAATCAATTCTCAAATATCTGTACAAATCAAACAGTGACCTACATGACCACATGGGTTATACTGCCTCAGAATGTGCAATGTCTGGTGCTGTGTTCCAGGAACAGAATCCTGTCCTATATTCCGTCCGTTTGTGAGACTCACTCAATGAAAGGGACCTATCATCATGGTGCCCCACGAAATGAATTATTTGCGATGTAGATCCACGTGTGTTACAGCCACCACAAAGCTGATTGTTTCCTGTAAGTAAATCCCTGGTGGCCCCAGATCAAAGGGGGCTATGTAAACAAACTTTTTTTGTTCTCTGAGTTTTAAAAGATTCATAGCACCCAGATATGTGTTATCTGGCCTCCTGTAGCTCTGGATTAATGAAAAAAAGGACATTTATATTTATCCATTACTCTCAAACTGTTGGACCCCCGAATGTTCATGGCCTGCAACTCTCAGAATTTGTTCAATGCAATAGATGAATCACAGGAGTTGTAGTTCAGTAACATCTGGGCAGAGCGGCGTTTGAAATGACTGAATAAGAGGAATCTCACAAGGTTATTCTCTTAAAGAATTAGTGCAAGAATCACAGCAACTACATCCCACTGTAGTGGTTATAATGATAAGATTACCCTTGCACTGTCCCTCAGTAATGGATAAGCCCCATTTGCAACAATTTGGCCTCTTATCTGGATCTCGCCAGACGCCAACTCTTCTAAAATGTTGTGTGATGAGCATCTGGTTTCTTCCAAGTCACAAAAGCCGAATGCCGATGGCTGAGAGTGTGAGCTGTGTGCTCTCAGCCAATGAACGACCTTCTGTTGTTATTATTATTATGATTTATATAACGCCAACAAATTCCACAACGCTGTTCTTATTAATTTCCTCTTGTGAGAGGTGTTTATGGGGACACTGTTGTTACCAAAACAACTTTAGCTTAATGAAGCAGTTTTAGTGTATAAATGATGCCCCTGCAGTCTCACGTCTGAATTCTCTGCTGTTTAGGAGTTAAATCATGTTTGTTTCTGTTCATGCAGCCCTAGTCACACCTTGCCTCACTGTGACTCACACAGCCTGCATGAAAAATAAAATTCAATCAGAGGTTAACTTAAGAAGTCTTTATCTCCTACTCTGTAAATTGAACTTTAATCACACAAAATAGAAAGATAATAAATTCTAAAATTAAACAGACTGTGCAATAAAGGAAGCTTTTAAAACATTAGATCTCACATTACAGGAAGTGTTTAGGAAGGCTGTGTAAGTCACATGCAGGGAGGTGTGACTAGGGTTCATAAACAAAGGGATTTAACTCCTAAATGGCAGAGGATTGAGCAGTGAGGCTGCAGGGGCATGTTCTATACACCAAAACTGCTTCTTTAAGATAAAGTTGTTTTGGCAACTACAGTGTTCCCTCAAACACCTGTCATGAAAGAGGAAATTGTCTCTTTAAGAACTGAGTGATCGACGTGTTTTTATTAGTTTCCCTTGATTCCACATGGTTCTTTAAGACAAATCTGTTTGGTATGTAATGAATTATTGGTGTATTATATATCAAGATAATTTTTTATTTATGTTTCATTTATTTATGGTGCTGTGATAGCCTTACAAGGTTACTGTACCTCTTCTTCATTATTCTGTTTTTTTAACTTAAAATTCCCCATTGGGCATTACTAATAGCCTACCTGGTGAAATGCTCTAATAAACTGTTATCTCCTGGCGCTAAGTCCTCCTCCTTCTGATGTCACAGGGTTTGTCTTGTTATGGGCGAATGCAAATATTATATTTCTGAAACTGTGTACTTTGTCTTTAAGAGATATTGCAAACTGACAAGGTGTCAGAAATGGAACATATTGTTTTCCATACATGTTTCTTTAAAGGGACTCTCCAGGCAGCCGTTTTTACTCACCTGGTTCCAGCGCCGGGAGCCTCGTGAAGCCGCGCCCCCTATTTCGTCAAAATGACGAAATAGGCGGGCGCTAGCAGGGAGCAATCAGACGCTTCCATTTGGAAGCGTCATTGCTCCCTTGTGCGCATGCACGGCTTCGCCGCACATGCGGACATCCTTCAGAGGGCGGCATGCATGCCGCCCTCTGAAGTCCTGAGCGCACTATCGCGCATGCGCGCGGGGTGCGCGGCTGCGAGCTGAGCTGACTGACAGCTCAGCTCACGGTCTTTGCCCGCCCCCTCTCCTCTGCTGACAGGCAGAAGAGAGAAGGCGCGCACACAGTGCCTTCTCTCTCCTGCACACGTCAGACGTATTTCAATACGTCTGACGTGTACAAGGCCTTTTTAGGGCCCTACATGATAGGAAGTCCCTCTGGTGGCCGTCAGTGACGGCCACTGGAGGTATTCCTATCAATCAATGTAAACACTGTATTTTCTTTGAAAATACAGTGTTTACATTTGATTGCCTGCAGGGAGCTATAGATCATACCTGAACAAATACATTAAGCTGTTGTTGTTCAGGTGACTATGGTGTCCCTTTAAGCAATAACCTTTTGCCTACTTTCAGTGCATACTATGTTTACGCTAGTTTGTCCCAGACTAAATACAATAACAATAATGCATAAACAAACTTCAAGGCTATGCCATGACTCTTTCAGTACATAATATACTGCGGTAACCCTAAATAGATGAAGATGTTCAGACTTTAAGATGCCATTTTGTCCTAAGTCAGGGAATTTTTCATGATGTATGCACCCTTATATTTTAGTTGGCCTTGTATTTTTGCCATGTTAAATGACCACTATAGTGCCAGGAAAACAAACTCATTTTCCTGGCACTATAGGGTCATTAGGTCCCCCCCACCCTCATGGCCCTCCTTCCGCTGGGCTAAAGGGGTTAAAACCCCTTCAGCCACTTACCTTTCTCCAGCGCCGGGCTCCCTTTGTGTTGGGGAACTCTCCACCCCCTGCCGACATCAGATCCAAGAGCCGTACGCGCATTCAAACCACCCATAGGAAAGCATTACTCAATGCTTTCCTATGGACGTCCATCAACTTCTCACTGTGATTTTCACAGTGAGAATCGCGGAAGCGCCTCTAGCAGCTGTCAGTGAGACAGCCACTAGAGGCTGGATTAACCCTCAGTGAAACATAGCAGTTTCTCCGAAACTGCTATGTTTTCAGCTGCAGGGTTAAAATTAGAGGGACCTGGCACCCAGACCACTTCATTGAGCCGAAGTGGTCTGGGTGCCGATAGTGGTCCTTTAAGAGAGGTCTTAAAATTAATAAAGTAAAAGAAGTGTTACTTTTTCATATATGAACTACGGTAACCCTAAAATGAAGACACCTAAGGTATAAATGTGTGTACCTTAAATGTTAACAGAGAGAGATTTGGAGACAGACACTTCATCTTATAATGTCAGAGAGGCTGACATGTTGACATGTTCAGGAGGGTATGTTATTCTATTAATGATATTTGCAAGCATATAGTGTAATCTTATAAACTCTGCTATAAATTATTGTAATGGATTTTATATATCTATATTTATATTTGTATTTAATAAGATATCTAAAAGACAAAACTTTATTGCTTTCAAGACAATCCTTATTTTATATTGTATTCTCAATTATTTATATATTTTAAATAGAGGATCTCTTACTAACTATACAATATTATGGCTTAAGATATCTGTATGGTAAGCCCTGCTAAGTTCTATGCTTTAAGACGTTATAGTGGTAAATAAGGGAACCAGCCGCGGTTACAGTCTCGTGGATCAGTCTCTATAAGGAGCCTGTGATTGGACTGTTTAGCTGGGCTCAGAGTACATTGATTGGACTGTTTTGCTGGTCCATGGAGAGGAGGGAGTCGGGGTGGACAGGGGAGGGGAATACAATTTTTTTTTTACAGGTGCAAAAGAAATGTGGGCAGGTGGGGAAGCGGGGAGGATTTAACAAATGAATGCAGGGAGTGGTGATGTAACTTCACCTTGCACACTCTGGCTATTAGGGCAGAATCATAATACATCTGTCGGCAGAGTGCTGTGCTGTCGTCAGATGTATTATTAGCACAAAATTGACATTTGGCAGTCCAGGAAAAGATTTTTGGGTTGCCCAAGTCACGTGTGCTGGGTGTGCAACTAACCCCAGCACACAATTAAACATAACTCTGCATCAGCAGTGTTTCAAAAGAAACATTGCATATATAAACTCATACCACCATGACCACTTCAAATCACTTAAGTGGTCATGGTGGTTGGAGTAACACTTTAAAGTCTCACATAGGTTGCACAGCAGCACAGAAACTGTTGTAGAGAATTTAAAGGCACACTATAGGGTCAGGAACACAGACATGTATTCCTGACCCTATAGTGTTAAAACCCACCTGGGCCCCTCATGCCTCCATAAATATAGTACAAATCTTACTGTATTCAAGCCTGAAGCTGTAGCTCTGCATGCTGTTAGACTCAGAAAACAAGCAGTCTGCTGACATCATCAGAAGTGGTAGCCTGATCCAATCACAGTGCTTCCCCATAGGATTGGCTGAGACTGACAAGGAGGCAGATCAGGGGCAGAGCCAGCATGATTCAAACACAGCCCTGGCCAATCAGCATCTCCTCATAGAGATGAATTGAATCAATGAATCTCTATGAGGAAAGTTCAGTGTCTGCATGCAGAGGGAGGAGATACTGAATGTTTGGATGCATTTTAGGCAGCCATGACCCAGGAAGGATCTCTAACAGCTATCTGAGGAGTGGCCAGTGAAGTTATCACTAGGCTGTAATGTAAACACTGCATTTTCTCTGAAAAGACAGTGTTTACAGCAAATTCAATAACATAGAAACATAGAAACATAGAAACATAGAATGTGACGGCAGATAAGAACCATTCGCCCATCTAGTCTGCCCAATTTTCTAAATACTTTCATTAGTCCCTAGTCTTATCTTATAGTTAGATAGCCTTATGCCTATCCCAATGATGCTTAAACTCCTTTACTGTGTTAACCTCTACCACTTCAGCTGGAAGGCTATTCATGCATCCACTACCCTCAGTAAAGTAATACTTCCTGATATTATTTTTTAAACCTTTGTCCTCTAATTTAAGACTATTATGTCCTCTTGTTGTGGTGTTTTTCTTCTTTTAAATATAGTCTCCTCCTTTACTGTGTTGGATTCCCTTTATATATTTTTCTATCATATCCCCTGTTCTGCCTTTCCTCCAAGCTATACATGTTAAGATCCTTTAACCTTTTCTGGTAAGTTTTATCCTGCAATCTATGAGCCAGTTTAGTAGCCCTTCTCTGAACTCTCTCTAAGGTATCAATATCCTTCTGAAGATACGGTCTCCAGTACTGTGTACAATACTCCAAGTGAGGTCTCACCAGTGTTCTGTATAATGGCATGAGCACTTCCCTCTTTCTACTGCTATTACCTCTCCCTATACAACCAAGCATTCTGCTAGCATTTCCTGCTGCTCTATTACATTGTCTGCCTACCTTAAGTCATCAGAAATAATCACCCCTAAATCCCTTTCCTCATATGTTGAGGTTAGGACTCTATCAAATATTCTGTACTCTGCCCTTGGGTTTTTACGTCCAAGATGCATTATCTTGCACTTATCCACATTAAATGTCAGTTGCCACAATTCTGACCATTTTTCTAGTTTACCTAAATCATTTGCCATTTGGCTTATCCCTCCTGGAACATCAACCCTGTTACAGATCTTAGTATCATCAGCAAAAAGACATACCTTACCATCAAGACCTTCTGCAATATCACTAATAAAAATATTAAAGAGAATGGGTCCAAGCACAGATCCCTGAGGTACCCCACTGGTGACAAGTCCAAGCTTCGAATATATTCCATTAACTACAACCCTCTGTTGCCTGTCACTCAGCCACTGCCTTACCCATTCAACAATATTGGAATCCAAACTTAAAGATTGCATTTTATTGATAAGCCTTCTATGTGCAACAGTGTCAAAAGCCTTACTGAAATCTAGGTAAGCAATGTCTACTGCACCACCCTGATCTATAATTTTAGTTACCAATCAAAAAAATCAATAAGATTAGTTTGGCATGATCTCCCTGAAGTAAACCCATGTTGTCTCTGATCTTGAAATCCATGTGTTTTTAGATGTTCATCAATCCTATCCCTTAACATGGTTTCCATCACTTTCCCCACTAC